ATTTGCAAATAGTTAAAACATTACTAATAGTGGATTAAAAATGGAAAACAATAGCCATGAATCATATTTATTATATACTTCATGTGATTTATATAATTCTTTGTCTCTAGTGAGCCAGTACAAAAAAATACAATGGAACTTATTTTTTTAGATTTGTTTCCACAAAAAGACTGAATTTTATCTAGCCAACGACAAAGTGAGAGGAGTGGCTATATATAAATAAGTAAATTCCTGCACCAACACCACTTATATGTAAATATTTTTTTAAAAAACCAGGAGAATCCTAAGAACTGAAGTAGAGCTTAGTCAGATCAGCCTCATAGCCAAAATGAAACAACAGTCTGCCATCATGGCTAATCAAATACATTCAGAAAATTCTAAACAGGACCAGAGGGTGAACACCTTCTTCCATTACTGCTTCTTAGCACCTACCACTTAGGATAGGCTGCCTGTAATTCCAGAGGGAATAAAACATACATTAAGACAAATAACTATTAATAGTCCAATCCTTATAAATTTCTTCAGTCTCTTTTAAAACAATTTTGTTTCTTTTAAAATGTTTGTTTTTCCCATTGAACCTTATCATTTCTTAGAATTAATTCTATTTAATTCCAGCTGATTGAAACACCATGAACTTCAACCAGATTTATTTCTGGAAAAAGGACACTCCTAGGCAGCTGAATTGGCGTATTCAGAAATCCTAAAATATTCCTTCTCTAGAGACAGAATATTTTACACATGACCAGAATTGCCAATGGTCCTCCAAATACAGTCTAATTATAATTTGTATAAGGAACTAACTGTGTTCACTGCGCTGACTATTTTATTTTAATTTTCATTTCCCTTCTAAGGAAAAGGCAGTCAAGTGCTGTAGCATTTCAGTTCTAGCGTAAGACTTCCTAAATAAGTAATCATTAGTTCTTTCCTAATTATTCTAGCATTCTATGACCCCAAAATCTTTTTCCAGATGATACACTATCAGCTGATCTCTTATTCATGTGTATGTGATGTTTGGAGCATGTGTATGTGTTGTATATGCCAAGCTGCATTACTTGCCCTTCTTACATTTAACGTTATTAGCTGTTTTCAGACTCCTTGCAAATCCTGAACTGTCTGAAATCATTGTACACTAGCAAAAGTTAAATAAGTGGAGTGTTTAGAGAATCCTTAACTTACACATATAGAATTGAAGGTTGGTTATTGATTGTAATAAGAGTAGTTTGTGTGAAAATAAATGGAATGCTTAAAGAGTGGTTGAACATCAATGATGAAATAAGTAAAGGATGTGTGAGGTCACCTTGGGTGTTTGTTTATAGATAAATGTATAACAAATATCTATGATAATGTTAAAGGTATGCTAGTTAGGATGTAAAGATATGTATTTTTCTATGCAGATGAGGCTGTGTTATTGACAAAGAACCCAAATGAGTCATAAGAGAATGTTAGACTATGTGAGGCAAGAAGGAATGTGGTTCTGAAAATGAATGTATCAAAGACCAAGATACTTGAGCTGGCCGGCGAAAATGGAGTGGAGTGAATCATTGTTTATAAATGGTGAAATAAACAGAATACAAGTAGGTGTATTTATATCCCCTAATAGAATGTTTACTAAAAGAAGAAAAACAAAGAAATTTTAAGTCTTGCAAAGGTTAGTAAAAAGATGGTAGGGAGTAGATAACCTATTACAGTGATGGCTAACCTTTTTGCCATTGCGTGCCAAAAGCGGGGGAGCGCAGGGGAGTCACAACACACCCATAATTCAATGCACTCTGACCCCTGCACATGCATGCGCGATCCCCCTGTGCTCTGCCGCTTTTGGCACACAATAGCACGGTGGGCCCGGTAGGCCCGTTTTTCACCCTCCCCAGGCTCCAGAGGCTTTCTTGAGTGCACCTTGAAATGAGTGCACCTTGAAATACCCACGTGATTTCTCTACTCAAACTCGATTTCATTGAGGGCCGCACCAGGATTGTGTTTGACCTCAGGGAGCCTTGGTGGGCGTGGCCAGCTCAATGTCACTTGTGTCAGAGGGGTGCCTGTGGTGGCCCGACCACTCTGCCAGCAAAAATGGGCTCCCAAACTCCGTTTTCGGCTGCAACAGCTTCCTGAAACCTCTGCTAACGAAAACGGAGCTCGGGAAGGCTGCCCGCAACCCTCCCAAGTTCCCTTTTTGCTGGCAAAGGCATCGCAGGCCAGTCCTTTGCTGTTTCCAGGGCAGCTCCGTGGGCCAGATCTAAGCACCCTGCGGGCCAGATCTGGGCCGTGGGCCTTGAGTTTAACACCCCTGCTCTATTCCAAAAACTTCAATGGTTATTAATTGGCTTCAAAGTACAATTCAAGGTTCTGGTTACTGTATTTAAAATCCCTTAAGGCTCAGAGTTTAGGTATCTGTGGGACAACTTTTTCCCAGCAATATCTACCTGCCCAATAAGATCTAGTACATCAGGCTCTTTAAGTATCCCCTTGATCGAAAACTGTCATCTTCAGATGCACAGAAGCATGATTTATCAGTCGCAACTGAAATTAAAAAAATAGTGTCCCCTGTCAGCATTGGGTCACCAGGCAGCCCAAACAAGTAGCATACCCAGAAGAATGATATCTATTTATTGTAAGATTACATGAATAAATCTTGAATTCAATCCCATCACTTCTAAACAAATTTAAAAGTACCAGTGATGTGCCTCCACATGCAACTAGGATACGTGAATATACCATCTTCTTACTCAATCTCACCAGTAACTAATATTTAGAGATACACCAGCTCCAATATTATCTCCTATACAGAGTCATCTAATAGTTATTAGTAGCCTTATCCTCCTCAACACTGTGCAATGGTATCTTTTAAGCTAAATTAGCAGCTACTGCTGTAATTTATAGAAGTAAGTGCCATCTTTTGATTATATGAGCCTTACTCTTTATTTTCAATCAGTGTCCTTGAGTTTGAATCTATGTAGGTATCTATGAGTATGTACTGCACAACTTACAAAATATGACAACTGTGTTCATATGAAAATGAATATTCCTATACTCAGGGGTGGATTCTACTTACCTTTACTACCGGTTTGCAACGGGGCCACGTGCACATGCTCGCACGCATGTGTTCTTCTGCGCATGCGCAGAAGCATCTTGATGACGTTGGGGTCGGTGGGCAGAGCCTCCCGCCGGTTTTACTACAGGTTCTATAGAACCGGTGCGAACCAGGGGCAACCCATCACTACCCATACTCCTATAAATAGCAACTAATAATTGCTTTCTAGCTTAAAGCAAAATAACTGACATGGAGATTATTAGTTTGTTTATATGAAAGGATTGTAGTGCCAAGCAGAAGCATAGTAATACAGGTACAAGTTATAAAAGAGTATACTGATTATACTGTAATAGTATCTTTGCTTGGCTGCTATTTTCGTTATAATATTTTATGTATAAAAAGGGCTTAAGTTAACCACCACAGTTGACCCATCGGTGAACAATGCAGTTGCAACACGCAATTCAGAGTAATTACTCATTACTACCATTGAAATACAACATGTATGGACTCATCTATAGTTGACGGTCTCATAGCAACTAGTACAAAAAAAAAAAAATCTTGCTAATTTGACAAATTGTACTGTTGAATTGGTAAAAGATCAACCTGAAAAAAAACAAAAACAGTTTTTCCCCCGAAGCAAAATTTCACAATCTTCAGTGCTATTTATTTCCTGGATGGAACGGGCCACTATTACTCTCTATAGCAGTGTTTCTCAAACTTGGCAACCTGAAGATGGGTGGACTTCAACTCCCAGAATCCCCCAGCCACAATCCTCCGCCCATCTTCAAATTGCCAAGCTTGAAAAACAGTGCTCTGTAGTCATAACTGATCTCACTTCTTTGTAAATACAGAAATTCTCCCACATTCTCTCCTAATGCGGAGCCCTCACCAGAGCAAACTGATGTCTCAAAATATTATTAGAGGATTGAGGCAAGTCCTTAATGTTAAAAGCTGGCATAAGCAAGAACTCGGTTTCTGTAATCTAAAAGGGTAGTAAGCAAGAGTTAACCCTTTCTTCTCTGACAAAGGCCCAATCTGTTTCCAACCCATCTCTATAAAAACCATGCCAAGGGTGAAAATAACCGAATCTTTAATCCTGCAATCCCCCCATGAATCTACTTTGAAAGTATTCCGTGCATGGTGACACAAAGATAAAAGGGCTTGTAAACATATGCAGAGTGCCCCTCTGTTATTAATCCCTATCTGCAACCTGCCCTTACAAAGCTGGGAAGAGGAAAAACAGTAGCCTGCCTCTCACTACACCTCATTGTCAGATTTACGTGTGGTCGTTATCAAATTGACCACTTCTTGAATAACAAGTGTACCTTGAGAGGTCAGAGGCGATTCTTAAGAAACCACCCAGCGCTTTCTTGGACAGGTACGTGTAGTAAATACAACAGAAGAAGAGGCCAACGTCAATGAAAAGCAGCAAGAAGAGGGTAGGGGAGAGGGCGGAAGCTTCTCAAAGCCTAAAGCCTCGGCTTGGAGCTCCAGAACGCGAAAAATTTTGGCGGTAGCAGCCGATCTGTTTGCTACAAGCAGAAGACTTAAGGGCAACGGCGGTCACCCCAGGAGGAGTTGAGAGCCAAAGCTGGCCACATCGAAGGGAGCAACGCCAACGCGGTGGCTGCGCGGAATCCGTCCGGGCGCGGGAAAGCCAAGCAAGCAAAACAACAGGGAAATAGCCCCCACCCTTCTCCAGCCTTCCTTTGGGCGAGGCCGAGCAAGAAAAAGCAGCGAGCGCAGGCTGTAAATCACCCTTTTTAGCTGGGGAGAGTAAGCAAGCAAGCAAAGGAGTCAAAAATAGCAACGACCAGCGGCACTCTCCGCCGCAGCCTGAAGGAGGCGGGAATCCGCCGCTCTTGCCCCGCGGTGGCGGCTTGCGTGTACGTGAGGCTTGCCTTGCCCCCTCCCCGGAGCGCTTGTACTTTACACGTTCACAGCCAGGTCATCCGCGGATCCCGCGTCTTACCTTTCCAAGCCCGGCCTTGCAAAAGGCGCTCAGGTTTAGCGCCGTCTCCTCCGCCTCTGCAGCACCTGGAGACCGACATCCGTGCCGCGGCTGAGCCGTCGCCACCCGCTCCTCGGCGCTGCGCCGCCAGCTTCGGTCGCCCCACCGGGAGGAGGAAAGACGGCAGAGCGAAAGGCGAGCCGCCGCAACGCGCGCACGCTAGCTCGAGCCCATAGAAGCCTGCGGGCGAAAAGGAAGCCCGGTCTCTAACGCCGACTTCTGGCGGGGAAGGCTCATCCGCGGCGGCTGCAGGAGCCTCCTGCCGAGGGCGCAAAGCCCCACAAGAGGGTCTCCCGCTCCTCGCCGCGGAGAAGGGGGGGCGTGCGCACTCCAGCCGCTGGTGCAAGCGGGTTGGCGAGAAGCGGCCAGAGGGGCGGAGACACAGGCGGGGAAAAGTGCTGCCATCCTCGCTGGCTTTTTCCGTCCCAAAACGACTCGGGTGTCGCTAAGAGGAAGCGATGGGCAGCCGACGTCTCGGGTTCATTTGTCTTTTCTTTCTTTTTTTTTTTGGTGCCTCCAGCCATAAACCTATTCATACGTGAATCTCGGCTTCATACGCCCCAAAGAGGTCCCCCCCCCCGGGTCTCCGGCGGTGTCGGTGTTGTTCAAGGCTTTCAAAGGGCCGTTTCCAGGGTTTCCGCATTCCTTTCAGCCGAGGCAATCCATGTGGGCTTCTTCTTTTTTTTCCTACGTGAAGACGCATAGAAGTTACAACAACCCAACAGTGGGCTAAAGAAAGCATGGGGAGGTCAGCTTCGAACCTTGTGTTAGGGATGCGCATGTGCACGCACACACACACACACACAGCCCGGCTGGAGACTCGCGTCGGTTTTTATTATATATCTGCAAAGATTAGATCAGAATGTTCCAAACTGGAAATGCATGCGCTTCGACGATAAAGAACCTGCTTTGCATGCAGGAAGACCTCGATTCCAAAGTGATGCTTGGGACAAGCTGGGGAATGGAAAAACATAAATCTGAATTCTGGAGAGTCTCCAATCAGTGTGAACAATGCTGAGGTAATGGACCAATGATCTGATCCGGTATAAGGAGACTTTTCAGGCTTCTAAAAGAAAACATCTAGCTAAAACGAAAACAACATCACACTTCTGTCAGAGCCACCATTCTTAAAGGGGGCACTTGTCTGCAGGAGGTATATAACACTCTAACCATTACAAGAAATAATCACCTTTTGAGTAACCGACATATCGGGGGGGGGGGAAATAAGATTTCCCTACTGTAAGGGTGCACAGCACTGAATCACAGAAGTCTCACTGCAATAGTTTACAAGGTAGCAATCAAGACAAACTAGAAAAATGGGTTTTTTACCTAATCATTAGCAAGGAAGTATTACAATAGCAGGTTGTTCTTTGGTGGAGGTCCAACTGGATGGAATCTGGAATAGGGCCAGACGTTTTTAAGTAAGGTGCTTTAAAAAATCCATTTGAGCTAATGGGGAAATGCATGTTGTTAAAATCAACATTATTCCAAGATTTATATTTATCTTGAAAGTTTCCTTATAGTAATAATTATGAATTATTTTAAACTGAATAAGATTTTCATTATATAAATTTGTATATGCTGAGATATATAATGAGAAATCAAAAGGAGACAGTCTAACTCTTAAGACTGCCAGTAAATCATGTTTTAGTTTTCATGACAAAAAAAAAGCCATTTAGATCAGATTTCTGCTAACCAGTGGTTGACAACTGATGGAGGACATACTTTTCTATTTGCATATGGTCATGTGTTTATGTGGACGCATGCACACAAAAACACACATGCACAGATACATATTTGGATTCCTGGCAACATTTCAGTTTTCTTGCAAGATTTTCAGAATTGTTTCATCCTTTTTCCTAGAACAGAGTAATTGGCCCCAAATCAGCCAGGTTTCTTTGTGCCTACGATGGAACTAGAATTCAGTCTCTCAATTTTTAGCCCCGTGCCCCAAACTCTGTGTCTCTGTGTTAGAACTTCTTGTGAATTTCATAGAATCCTGATGCTCTAATAGTGCTGTTTTTCATATCTATTAATTGGCATGCGTGCATTCTTAAGAGAATAAAAATGATTGGAACACAATGTTTTGTTCTGAAATGTGCCCATTTGTTCTGAAAAAAGACCATGGTTACTTAGGGGATGAAAGAGAATATTATAGGAATGAAAATGAGAGTATCTTCAGAGGCAAAGAAGAGAATAAGAGTATACATTTGTCTGTTTATGCATTTTTGAGCTTCCCCAGTTTGCCTTTTACAAAACAGCCATTTTGTAGCATTTGTGGGGGGCAAGTACATGATTATTAGGGCTTCAGATTCCACCTTTGGCTTGACACGTTATTTTCAACTAAATCAATTTGTCTTCTTGCACCTGCATGTTTTATGTCTGACCAAACCTCTTCCACCAGTATTTTTCCAAATATGCTCAAAGCAATTGTGGATGTTCCGTGGAGCACATTTCAAACTCAGTGTCAAAATTGAAAGCTTCTAATTATCCTTTTACAACTCATACATTTTATCATTTTGTTTTGTCTTTGTTCTAATACAGTACTGGAACGTTCTTTCCCTATCAATATAAATACGAATAGCATTGAAACAAATTTAATAACAAGTCTGACAAGTCAAAAAGTCATCTTAATGTATTCTACAATTCTCAAAGTCTACGTACAATGGCAGAAATAGTGAAATGGATTTTTATTCTTTGCCATATTAAAGCTTCCATAATTTTCACTTATTGCCACACTGACTGACATATTCTTCCAAAACATGACTGATCCAGCCATGCCCAACCTATTAGGACAATTGTGGGGGTGGGGGAGAGTTTGGAAGGCTAGCAGAAGTTGTGGGAGAACCTGACACAGGCCTAGGCAGCTTCAATAGTGCTAAGGGGCACATGGCAGTATATTTCCTACTTTGCTGTACTGCATCTCCAGCAGCTACTGCTGGGCTGATCTTTTCCTGAAACTGACAGATTCATTCAAAATTTAGTTTAAGTTATTGTGTGTTCCCCAATCTGGTATCTTCCAGATGTCCTGAGATCCCAAGCCAAATAGGGTAAATCTCATATAATCCCCACCAAAAATCACTGAACACCTCCCATAAAAGGAGAGCATGGACTTACAGGTCCCTTAGCCCTCTTGCAAAGTTCTACCTTCTCCTCTTACCTAGGGAAATGAAAAATAGGAACAAGGCACTAGGGAAGAACAGGTTAGGCTTATCTAAAATGTAAGAATCAAAAAGATAGTATCTAAAGATAGGAATGGAAGCAATTATAAAATTTAACAAGTTGAAATATTGTAGTAAGCACAATTTCAAAAAATTCAATTCCACTTTACACAAGTTTTTCTAAATCTGGATCCAGCTCAAAATGGACTCGTGGGATTTAAAGTGGGCTATAAATATACAAGTGACAAAATATTAAAAGATTGTTTCTAGTCTCCAGTATTTTAAATTAACATTTTTAATAACTCAGTTGCAATACTGGAAAAATAGGAAAACATTTTATTAGCATGTTAAAAAGTCAAGTTATAAATGCAATATAGAAAGATCAAGTAGTGCTGCTTCTGACAGCACTATTTTAGTCATCCCATTCATCTTCATACTCCAAGTCAGATTGAAACTCTTCATTACCTGCAAGAAAAGATCAAAGATGCAAGTAGTTTTATTCACTGAAACCATTATTTAAAATATTAGAATTTTTTTTAAAAATAGAATAGAATAGAATACACTCTCATCCATACTTAGGCTGAAAGTTAAATTCTCATTATATAATTTTGTCTTAAACTAATGTAAAAAGAGTAGTCTATGAAGTAAGGAATACAAGTTTTAAATGACTAGATGAGCTACAGGTAGAGAATGATTAGAAACAGCAATATTGCAGCAGCATATTATATTCTGAATGAAAACTCTGGCAGTCCTCATCTCCTAATGGAATCTCTCAAATAAACTTCCAGCTAGACAGTTGGCCATGACCTCCCACATATACGATGCTATAAACTCTCATAGGAATATACACTGCTCAAAAAAATAAAGGGAACACAAGCAGAAGACATCCGAGATCTGAATGAATGAAATAGCCTTATTAAATACTTTCTCCGTTGCATACAGTAGTTTTGTGTTCCCTTTAGTTGTTTGAGCAGTGTATAAACTACTGTATGTAAAGAACAAAGTATTTAATAAGGCTATTTCATTCATTCAGATCTCGGATGTCTTCTGCTTGTGTTCCCTTTATTTTTTTGAGCAGTATATTTTCCCCAACTGACATTCAAAATACTTACTAAGTTACTGTTCTCTAGGGTATGTCAATGTTTCACCCATTGTCTCCCCAATTGTTGATAGCAATAGCACTTACTTATACTGCTTCATAGTGCTTTACAGCCCTCTCTAAGCAGTTTACAGAGTCAGCATATTGCCCTCAACAATCTGGGTCCTCATTTTACAGACCTCAGAAGGATGGAAGATTGAGTCAACCTGGTGAGATTCGATCTGCCAAACTGCTGGCAACAGGCAGTCAGCAGAAGTAGCATGCAGTACTGCACTCTAACCAATGCGCCATATTCATTACTTGCCTAATCTTGTTCTTCAATTTCATCTTTGCTTCTATCACTCCCATTACAATTTCAGTATTAATGGGATTAGTTAACCATTCTATGAAACAACTTTTAAGAACTAGAGACAAAAAATTGACTATAGAAAATGTTTTGACCCACCTTTTTAGGGAGTGATAAATGTATTTGTACAATGTATTAAGCCAGTTTGTTGTCAGATCTAGTGTCATTTAATCTTTGGGACTGATTGGCAGAGTATCCTAATTACACTTTGTAAAAGTTTACTGACTTTAAATATAGATTAGGAAGACTTAATCTGAGGTTTATCACTACCTAACTTTTCTTTTTTATCTTCAGAACAGAAAAAAGAACGGGAACATCAGCTGGTTTAACCCCTGCAAACCAGCCATACAGATTTGGGTTCAGTTTGCTCTCTTGTCTGCTACAAGATCAATGGGAAAATCGGTTTCTCAATATTAATCCCAAACATCTTTGCTTTTTAAAATATAAATATAAATGCAATATAGTAGATTTTAATTTATTCCCCCCCCCCAAAAAGTAGCATAAGTCTCAAGGAGTTCAAAACATATTTAAAAATAACATCAAAGGAATGAATCATTCCATGTGACATTGAGGGAAAACTTATTGTTTAGTTTGCAAACTTATGAATTTCAAAGGAAAACTCTTCATCAAGCAAAGGTGAGGGAGATCAATTTTTAAAGAATTTTTATTAAAGTTTAGAGAGATGAGGATAAAAAAAAATCTAATACAAACTAGGATAATATGACAAAAAAAATCCAGAGAAATTTTAAAAAATAAAATAATAAAAATATAAAGAAATTACTTCCCCCTTCATGACAAATACAAATTTAGTAAATTATCTCTTTCTCTGATACAATAAACTTTTCTTCCCATATCTCATTTCTTATCTATAAATATATTTAAAAGTGTCATTATTTTGTCCTAATCAGCAAAAAATCCATTAATAATTACCAGAAATAACATATATTTTAACTTTAATCAAACAAGCCAACTGCATGTGCCTTTCATTCTCCAAATAATGCACACACATCTGACCTTCACCATTCTCTAAATAATTCTTCAAATAGCGTGCCTGTTCTTACTAGACCTGGGAAGACCTCAAAGGCTTTCCTCAGTCAACACCTGGCCATGTCTTTGATGCAACAACCGGCTTTTCCACCTCCCTTTAGCAATAATATCAATTTGATTTCTATAGCCATGTTTAGAGGCATTGATTGTTTGAAGACAGCATTAGCTATGAAGAAATAATGGGAGCGGCAGAAACTGATAAGTCATTCACCTACTTCATGTTGGTTTCCTAAGCCATACAATCAACCTCATATTCCTCCTTATATTTCCAGCTTTGGCATTCCAGTTTCCACTCCATTTCCTATCAATTCCAAATTTGATAATAAGCCCATCTCAATTCACTGATGCCTAAGATGCCAATTTGTAATCATTTCATTTTTCTTTGAGCTTTCTTTGAACTTTCCCATGTTCAATCTTCCTATATTCCGTGTTTTCACTGTCTTTGCAGCTTCAGAAGTTCTTTTCCTGCATGACAACAGTAGGAACTAGAGATCCCGAAGACTTTAATCTAGCTATATCATAATACTATTAGTACTCTGAAAGTTTCTTAGTTGTCACTACATGTTTACCATTGCCTTATGCAATACAGTATGAATAGATGCCTTTGCCATTGTCATCGGCCTCCAACATCTTCTTGTATTACTGCTGCCCAATATAGGAGCCTACTTCGTTAGCTAGACAGGTGCATGACTATCATGCACTGGGTGACCCTGCTAGGAATATATTTTCTTGACATGTCCTCCCAGCATTCTTCACTCATACCTCTCAGGAAATCTCTCCCCACCACCCAGCCCCACAAGTACAGTAGTTCTCGACTTATGACAATTGAACCCAATATTTCTGTTGTTTAGTGAGACAGTTAAATGAGCCCCATTTTATGACCTTTCAAGGTAAGTGAATTACTGCAGTTGATAAGTTAGTAACCAGCTGTTAAGTGAATCTGGCTTCCCCATTGACTTTGCTTATCAGAAGGTTGCAAAGGGTGATCACATGACTCCTGGACATTGAAACCATCATCAATGCGAGTGAGTTGGCAAGCATATGAATTTTGATCATGTGACCATGGGGATGCAGCAAAGGTCATAACTGAAAAACGGTCATAGATCTTCTTTGAGATCTATGGATGTGAGCAGATCCCCTTGTCTGATGCAATTTAGTATGGTGGTTAGGGATTGCATCTTGAAGCGCTTGTATTTTATGTGCATATTAGTCTTTAGAGATCTAAGATTCCCCTATTGCCCCCGGATTTTTTCTGGACCAGAAAGAGAATCGAATAGAAGCCGAGACCCCGCTGTTGTACAGGTACCAGTTCTATGACCTGTATGGAGAGCAGGTGGTGGATCTCGGCCTCCATCAGAGACCTCTTGGTGGTGTCTTGGTAGAGTGCAGGAGATGAATCTCCTTGGTGGGATGGAAGAGAATTCTAGGGTGAGACTGAGCCTGACTGTTTGCAGAGCCCAGGCATTGGTTGTGGTTAGTTCCCATTGGGCAGCGAACAACAAGAGACGGCCTCCAATGGGAACCCCCAACTGAGAGTCACTTGAATTTGCGGTAGGGTCTACCGCTAGCTCCTTGAAAGGGTCTCCGTGACTGAGACTGTCGGGGCCTGTCCCTGAACAAGGCTCTATCCTGGGAACGATCGGTGGAGGGAAGGTAGGTCCTCTGGGAGGAGGAGGAGGGGGGGGCAGAGTAACCACCCTCAGGCCCACGAAAGGACTGCCTGCAATAAAAGGGGGAGTATCTCCTGTCAGCCCTTCTATGTGAAAACAGAAGCACCTTCCGTTTGTCCTTGGTCTCCACTAAAATGGGGTCTAGCACCTGGCCGAAAAGGTTGCTGCCTTGGAAGGTAGCTGACGCCAGCTTCCATTTGGATTTCATATAGGCTTGCCAATGGCGAAGCCATAGCAGGCGTCTGGATGTAACATTAGATGCCAACGCCCTGGAAGCAAATTTGGCAGTGTTAAGGGTAGTGTCTGCAGAATATTCTGCAGCCGCTATCAATTTGTTGATGTCCTGATGTAATCTGACATCCCCTGGTGGTGCACGTGCTTGCATCTGGCGTAGCCACAGAAGAGATGTTCTATTAAAAAAGGATGCTGCTGTGGCTGATCTAATTGCCCAGGCAGCTGCTTGATGTGTTTTACAAAGTGACATCTCTGCTTTCCTATCCTCGGTTTTTAACCCCTCAGCTGAGTCTGATGGAAGAATATTTGAAGAGGCCAGATTGGCAAAGGGAGCATCTATAGCCGGTACTTTAAGCATATCCTCCACTTCTTGCTCTACAGTATACATCTTCTTGTCCAATCCACTGGGATTGGACAAGGACCCAGGTTGGTTCCATTGCTTTCGAATAATATCTACAAACAATTTGGGGGAAAGGAACAACCTCTTGAGTAGTTACTGGTTCAGTGAAAAGACGGGTGCTGGGGTCCTGCTCAGTAGAGCACCCCGATGCCCCAGATGCCACTAAGTTTGCAGTAGTTTTGGCCTTGTAAAGTTTTAAACATGCTGGGATTAAAAAGACCAGTGAATGCCGGTTTGTCAGGTGATCTACCTTCATCCTCAGATAGCTCAAGCTCTGCAAGGTCTTCCTCCTCGCCAGTGTAGGAAAGCCTCGCTGCCCTGATACTCATGGGGTGAATGAGGAGCATGAGAATAAGATCTATCAGGCTGACTCTGAGGCACATTGGGTGTAGTCCCGCTGGAAGTGGGAGCAGGTATGCCCCTCCTTAGAAGGGCTGAATCAATGCCCTGTGCAATGGTCTGGGCCAGGATGTGGCAGAGTTCCTGAGAAAGGAAAGGGTTCTGGCTCTCCTCAGGGTGGAGCCCCGCCGCTGTAGGAGTGAATGTGGCTGAGGGAGCTGCCTTTCTGGGGGCTAAAATGGCCACCTGGTCTGATGTGTCTTGACTAGATAAGGGAATGGCATCCTCAGCACAATCAATTTCTTCTGGGGAATCCTGAATTGGGTCTGGAGACCAGTTTAATTTATCCTCAGGCTGTGCAGAAGAAAAGCTGCCCTGATCCAAAGAAATATTGGCCTCAGGCTGGCTTGGGAGGGGCCTTGAGCTTGTAGAGGCTTCTGCCTGCTTTTTGGCTTTAGCAAATTGCCTTTCTAGTGCTTTTTGCCTACGTTCTGCATCTTTATCAGCAGCTGTGGAAGTAGAAGGCTTGGATCTAGTGGAATGCCCAACAGGTGCATTGATTGCCTTACTTTGATCAGAAGACATCATTTTCCTGGAAGTAGAAGATGAGGCTGCAGTATCTTTAGTGTGAGCTGAACTGCGATCCACCATCTTGAATGAATAAGCAGATTTTAATTACAAGGGCACTTGAATAGCAACTGATTCAATATTACTTCTCTGTCTCCAATTTTAGTAATAAAAGCGCCAAACCGACACTACAGTTTGCAAGCGCAATTACAACTGCTGTAATTTTAGGCTCGAGGCAGCTCCAATAGCCCCCTGCGCAATTACAATGAGTCAGCAGCAAACAAAATGGCGCAGAACAGACACAACAGTCCCCAAGCCAAACCACCAATTACAAGCGCCAAACCAGCAATGCGGTTTGTGAGCGCTGGAGCTGCTCGCCCAACTCACGCTTTTCCTTTAAGAGCCAAAAAGATCCTCCGAAGCTGCTTTCTGCTGATTCCTTCTGCTAACTCCTCAAAGGGCTGATTTAGTTAAAGCGGAGCTGCTGTGCTCGCAATTGCAGCAATTAAGAGCTCCAGAGCTATCCTGCTCCACAGAGCAGCCTCTGGCTGTTGCGCAGCATTTGGAATAGGTTTTTTTTTTTTTTTATGAAATTCAAGTCAATTAGAGAGGAAGAGGGTAATAATTGTGGCTATTAGAATAATTTTTGTAAAATTTAAGTACTGGAGAGAATAAGGATAAGTCACTCTAGGCCGACTGAGTTGAAACACTGAAGGATCATGAGAGGAAGAGGCATGGCTATGCAAATTCAACCCAGTCACTGGCCAACCAGCCTAAGGAAATCCCAGAGCTTGGACTTTCCAAGCAGCGCACAGGAAAAGTCACACGTTCCTTTGTAACTTTGAACAATCACTAAACGAATTGTTGTAAGTCAAGGACTACCTGTACGGCAGAACATGCTGGGGAGAGAGGAGTAGCCTAAGATGAAATTATGTCTTGTAAACAGGAAAGCTTAGTTTAGGCTGCATAGTAGTAGAAGAAAAATCTAATGACAATGGCAATTTAGATCATCCTATCTTATCCTATCCTATAATTTACAGTGTATTCTTGTTGGATCTATTCTTGGCACCAGAAGAGGGAGCTCCTGTACATGGTATGCAAATATTTCTTTCAATAATTTTAAATGTTGAATATCGCTCTACAAATTATTCAGATTTTCATACTGAATCTATTCAGATTTACCTGACCCTATTTTATACTTTTGAGTTTATCCCATTTTTACCAATGTTAATGTATTTTAAATTTTCATTTAATTTACTGGATTATTTTGAAAGACTATTCACCTTTAGCTGATACCTTAAAATGGTGCCCCAAGGAACTGTCTACTGTGTTAGCAATGCTTCAATATGGTGCATTGCTAAACATTTTAAGTTTTTATATTGAAATGCATATATTTGTTGAATTTAATATATTCAGTTAGCACTTTGTTCTTAACATTATATTATCCTTTTCCCACACTTGTTTCATAAAAAAGCATTTGAGAATAAATCTGTTTCTTGTTTTTAAAACATAAATAAGAGATGCAATAAAGCGGATTTGACAAAAATGAGTGACGACCACCAAGAGTTAAGAGATGATGGCCTCTCTACATTATATCACAAACTACAATCTATGTATAATTGAATTTCGTATTTTACAACATAAACTTAATTTTAAATTTAAAAATAATGCAGTAAAGTTAATTCAACAAAAATAACAAATGGCTTCCCCTAAAGATTGGGGATACAATAATAGAAGTATGAGCAGATGTCCCTCCAGATATACTCTGAACACAGAGAGATATGAGATTTTCAACAATTTGTTTCCAAGAAAGAAAAATTAAATGTAGGTTGCCTACTTCATTTTGTCTGTAGGTCTTTATGAATGATGACAGACACTTCGTACATTCAGCAGAGAACACTAAGACAGTGCTCGAGTCTTTGTAATAGAACAGATCAAAAATGATTCAGAACAAACAGAAGATCAAACATTTGATTAGCAAATGGTCTTTGAGTAAATTGAATTGTAATTGACATCATAGATCAAGTTAAAATATCCTCAGGAAATATTCTCATTTAAAAATAAAAAAGTTTTTTCCTGAAATTTAAAAAAAGGAGAAAGCAGATGTTATATGTCTTAAAGAGGTGCATGTTGTAAAATAATATAAATATGTAAATATCAATGTCAATGTTTAGGCTTCTGTTGGAAAGAAAAATGTGTGTGTCTTTGTCAGTGTATATTCTATTTTTCTTCTTTCCCCCAGAAGCCTATAAAGAGCTTATGAAATTGGGAAAAACAGATCAAGATAAAGTAGGGAAATTAATTCATTATTATGGTTTTAAACTGAACAAGGGAAAATAATAGTTCGTTCAATGTATATTCAGTAAACTATTTATTCACCTATTGTAATTTCAATCATTTATTGAAATTATAGAAGGGAATGTTTTGAGTCTTGGAGATACGTTTTTTCCTCAATCTTGATAAACATAGCTCATGCTAAAGAAATATACGCGAATTGCCAAAAAATACTGTAGATTAAATATCATCACTATTACACATGTAGAAACATTAAATCTTTAGCAATTTTAATGGAATGTATCTATTTTAATAAATATATTTTAATAAAATTTACACAGAAATACTCATGTTAGATGTCTTAATTCATTATCTAAACTAACACGTGGAAGTTGCAGCAATTGCTTTTGCAAACCAAATTAATAAAACGAGAGCCATGCCAAAAAAAAAAAAAGATATACTGTTAAACAATTTAAAATACAATGTAATTAGAATCAGGACACAAACAGAATCCAATTCTGGATATACAACAAAGGATTCAGACAAACTTCAACCAACTAGATCTAATGGAAGTAAGTAAGGCTTACAAACAAAGTCATTTCATTAAGCTGAAGTATTTTGAGAAAAGCAAACAAATTTAGAAAACAACTTTTATGCTGCCATTGCAAAAGAGCCTTATATCATGATTTTTTAGTTCACACTGAAGTTTGCTATGGGAAGAGAATTCAACCACTCATCAGCCATGTTTATGGCTTAGTATTGTATCCACCCGTCCAATGTTATTAAATGCATTGCAATTAAATTAGATACTGACTTAGCATAATACATGATTTCAGCCACTGCCACGCAATGGCACTAATGGAGGTTTCTTTAGCCCTTAAAAGATCCAGGGATTGAATCTGGGCCTTCTGCCCTAGCTACTTACTTTAAAAAATCCAAAACAGTGACTATTAGGTTTGTCAAAATGTATGAGGTTTTCCAAGTTTGTATCAATAATAAATGAGTAAATCCAATTAATCATTACAGGCCACACACATTTCTCATTGACTAATAAGGTCCCAGTGTTAAAAGGAAAGATACAGCCAGTCTTTCAATATTGGACTATTTCTTGTGGGTCAATTGAATTTCCTCTAGTTAACATGCCTGCCTGGGCTTCTTTAAAAGAATTAGCATGCATGGCAGCTTTCATTACTTCTTGCTGGGGGGTGGGGGAGTAGAGCAAATTAAATATTTTGTCTACCTGAAGCAGGTATTGCTGTGTGCCTCTTCTGAATTACATCCTTAAGTGCTGCTACTATTCCTTCATCTTTGGAAAGTTGATTTTCAGCCACCTGTTTCTCAGAAACACAAAATAAAATATTGAAACCAATTTTTAGGAGTTCAAGCCTATAATGTACCTAATTATTAATAGAGCTAGCTAACCAATCCATTACTTATAGGAGGGAGAGGGAGTTTTACTAGGCCAGTATTAAACACTCACCTTCTTGTTCATCTTTTCAATACTGTTCTGTTTGTCGTTGAGATGTGCAACCCATCTTATTCTCAATATATAACACTTAAGGCCAGTAAAACTCTTTACTGCGTATTTTTTTGCTTATACAATATTTTCTAGCCTGTAACATTCAGTTACTCAGTTCCATTATCCTCAACTAACTGAAAGATTCCTCCAGGACTTTCAACATCTAAAGCTCCTGTCAAATTTAATTTCAAAATTACTTTTGGGACTAATCCTAAAATAATAATAAAAATGAAGATACTTGCCGGTTTTAATTCCGGTGTTCCTTTTTTGATCTGACAAATTAGATCTTCTTGACTGACCGGAGTTAGGTGATAGTCACTGTGTGCCCTTTTCAGATGCTCTTCCTTCAAGCTTTGGATCAAATTATGGTGGGATGTCTTTTTGGAAGGAGACATGCAGGGTAATTGAGCTAGGACTACGGAAGGAAGGTCTTCATTACATTCTAATCCACGTGATTCTGAAATGAAGGAAAGCACAGCTCGGGTGTTACTGCATATATCGTTCATTCCAGGGGTGAAATGTAAAATTTGTTACTACCAGTTCTGTGGGCGTGGCTTGGTGGGGGTGGGGGTAATGTGATTGGGTGGGCGTGGCCAACTTTTTTTTTTTAACTTTTCAAAGCATTTTTTCTAATGCTTTGAAAAGCCTCTGGCGATCAGGCAGCTCAGCTGGGATTGTCAGAGACTCTTCAAAGCATTTTTTTTACCACCTCTTCGGCCAAGAGGTTGCAGAAAAAAATGCTTTGAAAAGCCTCTGACGATCCCAGCTGAGCCGCGCAATCATCAGACGCTTTTTTTTTACTTTTAAAAGCATTTTTTTGTCAGAAGAGGTTGTAGAAAAAATGCTTTTAAAAGTTTTTTTTTTAAAAGCCTCTGATGATTGTGCAGCTCAGCTGGGCATGGGGGGGGCAGGGATTTTTGCTACTGGTTGTCCAAACCACCCGCTGCCATCACTACCGGATCAGGCGATCTGGTCCGAACCGGGAGCATTTCAGCCCTGGTTCATCCATGGTATTTGGCAATATGTAATCCTTTCAGTGACTGAGAATGGAATCCAGCTCACCCGGCTGATTTATTTAGTGGTTTGATTTCTATTTGTTTTGTTAGCTAGTCAACTCTAACCCAGTCCACTTCCGTCCACATTTTCAATACATTAGGTATACAAACCCCATGTTAAGTACAAGTGATCCTCTATGTACGACCACAATTGAGCCCAACATTTCTGTTAAGTGAGACATTTGTTAACTGAGTTTTGACCCATTTTACGACCTTTCTTGCCATAGTTGTCAAGTGAATCACTGCAGTTGATAAGATAGTAAACCTAGTTGTTAAGTGAATCTGGCTTCCCCATTGACTTTGCTTGTCGGAAGGTCACAAAAGGTGATCACATGACCTTAGGAGACTGCAACAATGATAAGTATGAACCAGTTGCCAAGCATATGAATTTTGATCTCTTGATCATCGGAATGCTGCAAAGGTGCAAACTGGTCATAAGTAATTTAGTGCTGTTGTAATTGAATGGTCACTAAACAAACTGTTGTATGTCAAGGACAACCTGTAAACCAACATTTTGACATAAATAGCAGTTCGGACTGATTCCTGATAGAGGAATACAGTATTAATAAATGGAATTATCCAACGTGTATTTTATATTCAGGATCTTACATTTATGGTTACAGGCTTTAAATGGTTACATAACCATTGGACAAACTTAAAGGATATTACTCAGTACGTTAAAAACATGAACTGGAAGCTGCAATATTTGTGTAGTAACATTACATGTATTTGCAGAAAACAGCTGATAGTTATACATCGTTGTCCAAGTATACCTTTTGTCTCTTTTAAAACAGTTTGGATTCCCCCTTGATTCTCAATTGTTTCAAAAATCTTTTTTGACGTTCTCTTGTCCTTCAGGTGATCTTGTGTTATACCAGCTTGAGTAAATATCATCTTTAATTCCGGCTCTATATTGGTCTGCAAGATAAGCCCATAATAAAAACTTTTATCAGAAGAATGGTAATGAGCCTCTTTGCTTCAAGTTCACCAAATTCATTAAGATTTATGTGGGAAAATCAAATAATACAGATATAGTGCACCCAAAATGATGTTGCAGGATACAGTATAACTGTTTCATTGTGGTTAGCTGGCTATGAGAGATCAATCTGTTGGGAGTTATTTTATGTTTTCCCTTGCTAAATAAATTATAATTCTTACGGTTTGGTGGGGAGATTGTAAACATTACCACAGCAAACATGGAGATTTACTGTAAAAGGAGTAAAGAATAAAGATGCAAATAAGAAATAAGAAAAACAAGTTTTTGACAATTGCAGGTCTACGCCCATTTGCTTCAAGCTTACTTGAAGAGAGGACTTGAAGAGAGGACTTTTGTAAAAATCTCATTGCACACCATGAATCATTTAGATCACATTTTTCTGACACATTAAATGAAAGTGTAAATTTAACAAACAGAAAACCAATTTTGGCTTTAATAGCAAGACTTTCAAAATAAATACAAATTGGAAAGATACCATCCCAAAGGAGTAGTTATAGACATTGGCAACTACTTACAACAAAATCTGTTTGGGGGCTCCATCCAATGTGACACAGATGTCTAAAATATATTAAATTTTTAATCAGTATCAATGAAAATATACAAGTTCAGACACATGCTTTAGCTTCCATAGTACAAGCTATGATTTTTAAATTTACTTTCCATTCCCAGTACAAACGAAGACATATTGTAAGAAGCAACTGATCCAAAGAAGATAGCAAAGATAAAATGCTTATAATATATATACACAAATTTATTCTTGCTTACTTGAAATTACTTGGAGATCCAATGTAAGTTTTGGTCAGTCTTTTTCTTTTTAGTTTTCCTCTCTTCGTTCTTTCAAGCATTTTTTGAATAATATAAAATGAGAAAGGCGATCCCTTGCATTTTGGAGATCTGGCATTTGATTGAAGCACAGGCAATGGACTAGCTACTTTTGATACAGATGCTAAAAAACAGAAGACAGACAATTTCAAATGTAAGTTAGTTGCTGCAAAAAAAAGTTGTTCAATCTCCTATATGTAGTTTCTGTTTCCAAGTTTGTTTGGGAAAGCAAGCTACGGTAGCTCTTTTTTCACAAGGGGTTTTAATCAGTAAATTAAATCAATTTCAGTATCACATGTAATGTTTAAAACTATTTTTTCAAATTATATTACCCATTTTGAATACTCCCCAGAGATGGAATGTAAGTCAAATGAATAACTCTTTTAAATTGAACTTGATATAATAGATCAGAAAATATTTTTAAAGCATTGATAAAACACTTTGATCTAATTAAATCTCTCCATCCTACCTCACAGGTTGTTGTTATAAGAAAAAAAAGAAAGGAATATAATATATATTACATTTATATTCTCCTAGAAAATATAAAACTAAAATCTCCTTTATTACAGTAATTGCTCCATTTCACAAATATATAGAACATTTTGGCTAACCAAAAACACAAAAAAATAGAAAATAGCCCTATTAAAGCCTCTCATTCCTTAACTTTCTCTGCTGAATGGGGAAAAAAGAACAGCCTCTTTTTAAAATATTCAATTTACCAAATGTTATTCCTTCTCCATATAGTGCCATTTTATCACAAGTTAGGTTACACTCTTTTTAGCAGCCTTTAGCAGTAACGCTCCTTAGCAGAGCAATTAATGAGTGAACTTAAATAATAAGGGGAATGTAAGTGCAGCTGTGAATAAACTCAGCACAGGAGTTCATGCTAGTTCCGCATTCTCCCGTTCCACAGCATAATTTCAACTAATTGATTTCAGGGTTGAGGACTTGAATCCTGAAGGTAGACTGTAGATAGATAATCAGTATGAAATTCTAATAGGCAAACCCTGCAGTGAATTATGGGTAGTTTCCCACAATATGAAAATTCCAGTTGTTGTTTTTAGTACATTACCCTGAGGTGCTAGGGTTACTAGCCAACATAACTAGTAATGAGGAGAACTGCAGTCCCAGTACAATTGGAAAGTGATGTATTGGAAGTTGTACTGTGTTTACCTGAATTGGCTTTGTTTGAAATTGACCATAAATATGCTTATATGCCAAGCATATTTCAGGACTGATGCATAGAGCCAGTTTGGTCTAGTGCAGCATTTCTCAACCTTGGTAGCTTGAAGATGGGCGGACTTCAACTCCCAGAATCCCCTAGCCAGCAGCGCTGGCTGGGGGATTCTGGGAGTTGAAGTCCACCCATCTTCAAGCTACCAAGGTTGAGAAACGCTGGTCTAGTGGTTAAGGCACTAGGCTAGAAATCAGAAGCCCGTGAGTTCCAGTCCGGCCTTAACCATGAAAGCTGGCTAGGTGTCCTTGGCCTAGTCACTCTGTCAGCCCAACTCACCTCACAGGGTTGTTGTTCTGGGGAAAATAGGAGGAAGGACTATTAGATATGTTTGCCACCCTGAGTTATTTATAAAAAACAATACAGATGAGATATAAATAAAATTTTTGGAACCAAATGAAGAGCCAAATGCTATATTCATATAGCATGTTAAGCCATGGTTTACTTAAGTATAACTTGATAGTTCAGCCAGATGCAGCTGAGTTCATACAACACTTCATCAAAATACAATAAGCCACAATACATGAATCCAATCCGAGGTTATGCATGCATGACCCACTAAGCCAAAAGTTTAAAATGAGTCAGCACACATTTGTCGCATTGTACCCACACAGGGCTTTTTAATCAAAGGCTTGATTGACCCACAATTTCATTTACAGAATTTCTAATCAAGGCTTGTAGTGTTTCAAATGGAACAATAATCATAGGAGTCTGGTTAAGAAGTCCTAATGGACAGTAAACTGATGCCACACTCAACCAGATGTTTGGATTTAGTGTATCAAACATAGCATGTAGAAAATACTGTAGAGTTTGAAGTACACTTATATTTGCAGTGCAAGCATCCAATCATCCTTCAAACATTATAAACCTCTTCAGGCCAGAAAGTGGGATAGTAACATATTTCTTCAGTCTGAAACTATGAGAGAGGGAAATCAAAATACTTATATTTGTATACATACTCCAGATGGGTTGCTGGTGCAGATTTTTTGGTCTGCAACTCTCATCTGGCTCATCTTATTTTTCCAGACTCCGTGTAGCCTATATGGAGACACCATTTTATACGCATTGTTTGACTACATTATATTTAATCTGATTTCCTGATCAACACATGGAAAAGCAATTCAGGGTTTATTCAGATAGTGAGGCAGATTCCTATGCATAATTGCTAGTGCAAGTGAGAAGCATAATAAAAGAGAAACCATCTCATATAGTAACTCTGTCCCCCAAACATCTCTTGCTGTTCATTTAGGAATAAATTAATCTGATTATTTAAGTAGCCAAAATTAAAAGTATGAATACTTAATTACATATTATAACACTCTGGAGAGTGGCCTGCTTATAAACAGCAACTAAGCAATGTGTAAGGATTAGAAATAGGATTATGGTTTCCTTAATGCATCACATCTAAGAAGACAAGCCAGAAATGTCATTTAGTTTTCCTCTCCATCCATCCCATCAGCACACAAGTGCTAGATGTTTTGTAGTAAGGGCACTACAGTTTGCAAATAGCTGTTTTCCCCATTGCCCTATATTGGTTTGATTTAGCATTCTCTGAATGGTGCTTCTTAACCTTAGCAACTTTAAGATGTATACGCTTCAGCTCCCAGAATTCCCCAGGGAGCAGAAGGCTTGGAATCACTGCTCTGAAAGATGTGGGACTGTTATTACTTTTGAATGATACAGTGCCCTCTAGTGGTGTTATGTATGCAATGTAATCTGAAACACGCCATCATTATTTTATAGCAGTGTTTTTCAAACTTGGCAACTTTAAGATATATGGATTCCAACTCCCAGAATTCCCCACCAAGAGGAGTTGAAATCCATACATCTTAAAGTTGCCAAGTTTGAAAAATGCTTATTTAGAATTTTTCAGGTTGTTGTATGCCCCAAATGTAGCATTTGAATTACACCACTAAATAATTTTGTTCCAGAAAAGAGGAAAATATTAGGTAGCAGTTTTTATAACTTCAGACGTGAAACTAACATTTCTCTTTCATAGTCATTACATGTACTTCTAAACTGATACATTAGGGATCAATATACATTAGAGATTAGGGCACATTAGGGATGGGAGAAACTGCTTTTCCATTCTGAATTTTTATTAAATAACATGTACAGCTTTGAATTTTATACTAAAAAAAACTAGAAGCATACAAGCACAGGATAGCTTCCTTGTGGGTTATAATATATAGTTACACAATTCATTTCATCTTAACTATTGAATTCTGAGAGTTGATGTCCACAGGCCATAAAGGTACCATAGTTGCCAAACCCTGGTGTTATGGCCTGTCAGCAGCCTGTGCGGATTGTAGCCGATTCCGACAACGGGGAGACCGGTGTGGTGCTGTGCCAGCAGCCTGTGCAGCTGGCGCTCGAGTCGGACAGTGAGGAGGCTGGAGAAGATGTGGTGCCAGAGGCAGGGATTCAGCCAGGGCCTTCAGAACTCCAGAAGCTCCTTTAACTGAAGAGGACAAAGAGGAGGAGCCTCTTCTCAATGCACGGGCGCGCAGAGCTGCCAAAAGGCAGGAGTGGCTCCTCAGGAGGAGGTCTCCCCGAGAGTAAGGCTTGAGGCTAATTGGCCACTCCCTTAGCCTATTAAGGAGGAACGCCATTTGTAGCAAGCTATAGGGAACAACTTTAGTTCACTCTCCTTTGCGTCTGGATTTTCTGCAAAATTACTTCTGGGCTTTCTGCCACCTCTAGTAAGACTGTGATTACCTTATCTCAGAATTCTTGTAGGCTGTTAAGACAGTTTATTAACAGCCTTTGGTTGATAAAGACTAAGTTATTTGAGTAAAATAAGCTTTGTATAGAGTTTGCGTGTGCTGTGTTCTTTGGGGTCTGTAGCTGGGGCAAAACACCTGGTTTAAGACCGTGGGACTCAAGAAGTCAAGATGGTTGGCCTAACCATGCAGTGAAAGCTCCAACTCATTACAGGTAGTCCTCAATTTACAACAATTTGTTCAGTGACTGTTCGAAGTTACAACGCCACTAGAAAAAAAACATATCACCCTTTTCACACTTATGACCATTGCAGCATCCCCATGGTCACATGATCAAAATTCAGATGCATCGCAACTGACTCATATTTATGATGGTTGAAGTGTCCCGAGGTCATGTGATCACCTTGTGTGACCTTCTGACAAGCAGTCAATGGGGAAGACAGATTTCACTTAACAATCATATTACTAACTTAACAACTGCAGTGATTCACTTAACAACGGTGGCACAAAAGGTCATAAAATGGGGCAAAATTCACTTAACAACTGTCTCGCTTTGCAACAGAAAACAGAAATTTTGGGCTCAATTGTGGTCATAAGTTAAAGATTACCTGTATTTACATGTGTTGCAGTCACACAAAGGAACATAGCTTCAATCACGCAGTTATTTGACATTTTTTTATCCTTCCTTCCTTCCTGCAAAGATCTGTGATACATTGTAAAAACAAAAAACAAAAAGAAGGAACTCAGAGGTATATATAATCATCCACCTGGCCAATTTGCTGCCCTGTTTATTTATAAATTCAAGTCAGTGTTGACTTTTCATAATTGCCTAGACAAGTCCCTGCAACGGTTTGCCCTTGCCTGCTTCCTAGGGCTGAGAGACAGTGACTGGCCCAAGGTCATCCATCTGTCTTTGGCTAAGGCAGGACTAGAACTCAGCCCCCCGACTTCAAGCTTGATGCCTTAACCTACAGGTGTCAAACTTGCGGTGTCACGTTGCCATCACATGATGTATCACGATTTTTTTTCCTTTCACAGAGCTGGAGTGGGCGTGATCTGCATGTGAAACCAGTTTGACACCCCTGCCTTACACCACTACACCAAACTGGCTCCAAATTCATTCCTTTCTATTTATTTACTTATTAAAAGGGAAGAAAAAAGGATCCTGCAAGAAGAAACAGGAGACTGTAAAAGGCTGCATGTCAACTTTGAACCACCTGTCTCTGGCCAGGACATCAGCCCATCCCAGTTCCACCACTGATATTTACGTTCATTCTTTTTTGGTTGAAATATGTTGTTTGATGTACTTTCAACAATGGAGACATTTTTTTTTCTTTTGGTAAGAAAGGACTAATGATATTTTCTCAGTATTTTCTCTAGGGAAGGAGCAGCTGGATAAAATCTGACAGGAGAAAAGGTTATATAAAATAAGAGATCAGAAGAGATAAATATATAAAGATGCGTAATACTATTTTGCCTCAATTATTTTAAGGACTGGGACCAGAGCTTGGGTCTCCCCTTTCCTAGTTGAACACTTTACTGTTTCTTCAACCTTACTTTGAAGATCAGAGGAATCTTTGTTTATATGCCTGCTATAAATAAAACACAATGTGAAGGACATTTTAGGAATATGGGCAAGATATTTTTGAATTCTCCTGTTCTTAGTTATTGTATATCTTTAATAGTTGCTTGTCAAGCAGACATTCAATAAGGACATTTTTTTTCCTATCACTTCCTCTCGTAACTATTAATAGCAAATTAAAAGGAGAAATCAAGACAGCTCTAACAAAAAGATATTAGATATTGTCAGCTTATGTTGGCGTTGGCGTTGTCAGTATTACTCAGGTCAAGCTGTTCAGAATAATTCTAGGATATGGTGATGGGAGGAAAAGAAAATAATCAATTGCTTTGTAAATGCTTCAAGTAACTCAGACACACTTTCCCCTTGATTTTAAGAATTTCTCTTTTTAAGTCTTCAATTCCCATTTTTAACACTAGAGGGCATTGCTTTCCAATGACAATGAAATCAAAATTAAAACCATGGGGAAAAAAGAAAATGGAGTAGTGTTTATATTATATGGTTAAATGAATTTCAGTGAAACAACTTCAATTACTGGGTGAAATAGAAATACTATGATATAAATAATCCACTGTCATACACAAAATGAGTCTGTCATCTGCACCTCTGTAACTGTCTGGTTTGGCTCTGCAACCCAACAAGACAGACTTCATTTTTAAAAAAATATTTTTTATTGAATTATAAACAAAAATATGAAGACAATACAAAGACAAATGAAATCCCACCACCTACATACCCACACCACATTCTACATATATGTTTTAGTCATCAACAGAATATATATTATATTACTTTATAAAGTAGTAAAGTAGTAAACTCTTGGTTCAAGTGTTTTAAATTAAAGATAATCTTGCATCTTCCCTGAATTCGTCTCCTATTTTTAATTTTTCACCCTATTTTCTGTCATCTACATTTGTTCTGATTTTCCTTTCCAGCCATTGGTACCATCGGTGCCACACAAGATAGTATTCACTTTCTTCCTTATCCTGGAGTTCCAGCATCAATCTATCCATTTCGGCACATTCTGTTATCTTTGAGATTTTATCTTTGGTTGGGAGTTGATCTGATTTCCAATTTTGAGCGAACAGTAATCGTGCTGCTGTCAGAATATGTATAATAAGATATTTTGTCTCTTTGGTGTATTGTGTTGTTATCATGCCAAATAAAAAGAATTCTGGAGTGTTTTCTACTTGTAGATTTGTTATTTCCTCAATAGTTTCCTTTATGCCTTGCCAGTATTGTTGGGCCTTCGTACATTTCCACCAAGCATGGTAATATGTTCCCTTTTTTGTTTTACACTTCCAACAGAGTGAGGAGGCATTCGGGTATATTTTGGCTAATCTGGCTGGTGCTAGGTGCCATCTGTAAAACATTTTGATAAGGTTCTCTTTATAAGATGTGGCTCTTGCCATTTTAATGTTTTGTTTCCACAATTTCTCCCAATTTGCCAATTGAATGTTGTGCCCTATGTCCCTAGCCCACCTTATCATGTTTTCTTTTACTGTTTCTTCTAATAATTTGTATCTAAGAAGGTAGTTGTATATTTTGGTTATCATCTTTTGTTCTGCCTCTTGTAAAATCTTGTCCAACTCATTCAGGTTATTCAAGATTCCATATTGTTTTTTGTCTGTTATGTATCTTGAGTGTATTTGGGTATAGGGCCACCAATCGATATTTATGCCAGAATTTTGAAGTTGCTGTCTTGAGATGAGTTCGCCTTCCTGGTTTAATAGGTCTTGGTACCGCATCATCTTTCCTATTTCAAGAGTGTTTGGATATATCAATGCCTCCATCCAGGACCAACATTTTGGTACTCTGGTATAATGTTTTTTCTTGATTTCCTGCCAAATCTTAAAGACTGAAGCTCGAATTATATGACGTTGGAAATACATGTGTCGTTTGTCCGGTCCATCCCATAAGAAAGCATGCCATCCTCGTATTAAATCGAAGCCTTCTAAGTATAGGGTTCTTTTGTTGTCCAGTTTCATCCATTCTTTAATCCAGGTCAGCCCTGATGCCTTATAGTAGAGTTCCCAATCTGGTATTGCTAGGCCTCCTTTGTCTCGTGAATTCTGTAAAGCTTTGATCTTAATTCTGGCCTTCTTTCCCTGCCATATATAATTCATTATTGTTTTGTTGAGGTTCTTGAAAAAAATCTCTTCCGGGGTGTATTGGTATTACTTGGTATAGGTATAATACTCTTGGTAATATGTTCATTTTTATTGAGGCAATTCTGCCCACCAGCAACAGTTGTAATCTGTTCCAAATTTCCAAGTCTTTTTTTATTTGTTTTAATAATTTAGTATAATTGTCTTCTTTAATTGTAGTTGCTTTTGTTGTCAACCAAATACCTAAATATTTTATTTTCTTTACTATTTGGATTCCTAGTTCTTCTTCTAATTTCAACCTCTGTATCTGCGTCATATTTTTCGTCAATACTTTGGTTTTTTGTTTATTTATTTTGAGGCCCGCAATTTTCCCGTATTCCTCTATCATTGTCATCAGCCTGGGTCCAGATAGTGTTGGGTTTTCCAATATGAAAATCACGTCATCTGCGAAGGCAAGCAGTTTATACTCCTCTCCCCGGATCTTGGGACCTTTAATGTCTTCCTCCTTCCTGATTTCAGTTAGTAAAACTTCCAATACTATTATAAATAATAGGGGTGACATGGGCATCCTTGTCGTACTCCTTTCTGAATGTCAAAAGTTTGTGTCATGTCACCATTTATTGAGATTTTGGCTGTTTGGTAAGAGTAGATTTTTCTTATCAATTTGAGAAATTTCTCTCCACAGTTCATCGACTCAAGTTGTATTGTAAGAAAGGACCAATTTAAGTTATCTAAGGCCTTCTGGGCATCGAGAGATATTAGGGCTACTTCCTTGTCTATCTTCTGATCGTAATATTCCAAAATGTTTATAATCGTTCTCAAATTGTTTTTGATCTGTCTCCTAGGTATAAAGCCGTTTTGGTCTGAGTGTATGTATTTATGAATTATTACTTTGAGTCTCTGTGCCAGTATTGACATAAATAGTTTATAATCCACATTGAGTAATGAAATGGGTCTATAGTTTCTAACTTGGGTCGGGTCTGAGTCTTCTTTGTGTATTAACGTAATAATGGTTTCTGTCCATGATTTTGGAATTTCAGCTGTCGATAATGCTGCATTGAAAACTTGTAGCAATGTTTCATCTATTAGTTGTTGGGAATGTTTATAAAATTCAGTAGGAATTCCATCTGGTCCTGGGGTTTTATTATTCTTTTGTTTTTTGCAGGCTTCGATCAGTTTAAATATTGTTATGGGCCGGTTCAGAGTCTCTCTGTGTTCTTCTTCGAAGTGTGTGATATTAGTTTTACTAAGGTATTTTCGAATTTGGTCTTCCGGGACATCTTCCTGTCGGTAGAGTTTTTGAAAGAATGTTTTGACTATGTTTTTCTTATCTAAATGTTTGTGAACTAAAGTTCCTGATTCGTCCTGGAGTTGGTGAATAATTCTTTTTTCTGTTTGCTTTTTTAGTTTGTAAGCTAACCAGCGTCCAGTTTTGTTTGCATGTTCAAAATTGGTCTACTTTGCCATTCTCATTTTTTGTGCCAATTCAGTTTTTCTAGTCAAATTCAATTTGTATTTAGCCAAATTAAGTTTTTGCTGCGCTATCTTGTTATTAGGGTGCTGTTGTAATTTAGTTTCCTCTATCCTGATTTCTTCCAATAAGTCATTCCTAATTCTTTGTTTCTCTTTTTTTTCTTTTTGCAATAGTTAAGCCCCTAATATAAGCTTTCGTCGTGTCCCATAAGTTTTGTAACGACGTTTGATCCTTTGTGTTAATTTGAAAAAATATCTTAATCTCCTTTTCTATCATTTGTAAGTACTCTTTTTCCTTTATAATACTTGTGTCCATTTTCCACCTTTCCGGATTATTTTAATGGGGTTGTGATCGGCCCATGTGCTAGGCATAATTTCTACGTCATGTGTTTCTTTGCTTAATTGAGGTGTCATCCAAGCCATGCCTAATCTGGACCACGATTGATGTGGGCCAGAAAAATATGTATATTGTTTGGTTTAATTCTCGCCAAGTGTCATGTAGACTCATTTCTTGTGCCAAATCCTTGAATGTCTGTGGCAGTG